GAGTGAGTCCTGGTAATGTCGCGCACGACGGTGGTGACGAGTTCGCTTTATCACCGAATACTCTCAAGTAAATGCGCGCGGTTTCGCATAGGTTGCATAATGTAGGTTTCTTTCATTTACGATAGTCGAGATCAATAGATTACGGAACGATAATAAATCATATCGGTCTCTTGAGAATTATTGCTCCCTCTGCTTCTTCTATCAATAGTACATTTAATTTTTTTATCTGATATTTCTTGATATTTTTTTCTCTCTCTATTTCTTTTTTTATGTCGGTTTTATACTACAGTAGTGAGACGCTATGATTTTTGCTACACAATAAAAAAATATATTTGTTAAAACCAGTCCTTGTTTGTGTTGAATTTTTATCCGAGTGATAATTTAATATAATTGTTATTGTGCCATTTGAATATTTTGTGTTAAATTGATATTCAACATTTCTTAGTATTAAAATAATAATTTATACATAAAACGAATAACATAAAAATAGTGTATTCTAAAACATAAATTCTAATATTAATTAATAGTATGTGAAAACAAAATCGATAAATTAGAAACCTATATCGGTCGAAACTGGATCTTTAATGCTTTTAAATAATTTCTATGTGAATTTATATACTAAATATGTTATTTGAACTGTGCGCTGAAATGATTTTATTATAGTAGTTTCATTGCGTTTATAAATTCGAAAAATAATTTCGACGCGCAGTTCAAATAACTACATATTAAGGGCCAGTTTTACAATTCATAGTTAATTCTTAATGGAGGTTCAGCTTATTCTTCATCTCTTTCCAATTCTAGAATTGTAAAGAGATAATGAATAAGTTGAACCTCTGTTAAGAATTGTGAACCATGAATTGTGAAACTGAGCTTTAATATATAAATTTACATAGAAATTATTTAAAAACATTAAAGATCCAGCTTCAACCGGTATAGGCTTTTAGTTTATTGACTGTGTACTCACATGTACAATTTAAAATAAGATTTTTATTGTTTAAAATATATGTATTTTAATTTAATATATTATAAATGTTAATTTTACCGAAGAAATATGCTTCCACAATTTATTTCCAAATTATGCCAATTTTACATTTTTTGTACTAATTGTAAGTTTTTACATAATATTTGTATAACTTTCTAACATAATTTATCCTGTGTTAAATTAACATAAAGATTTATACAGATGTATGTACACAACGTTTAATACATGTTACCTATTCAAATTTTTCATGTTACAGTTCACATATCACAAAAATTTGAGACACGTAAAAAAAAATATATTAAATTTAACACAAACTTTCCAACTATGCATTTAATATATTTTTTAATCATTAGAAGTTTCTATAAAATTCACATATATTTTTTATCTATATAAGTTAATGTTATAAATGACAGTTTGCTTTTTTTAATTGCAGGCTGAGGACCTCTTGGACGACATTCTGTCGTTTGAGGCTGGTTCCTTGGGTGACGGACTGAAAGACGGCCAAGCTGGAAGTCTCACAAATATACCGGAGCTTCAAATTAAACCAGAACCTCTTTTGCTCACCGAGGCAGAGATTCATGCTCTCGCGAAAGATCGGCAGAAAAAGGATAACCACAATATGAGTAAGTCAAGAACCACTCTCTTCGATTAGATTGCGAAAAATTTATGCATTTTTTAAATATCAATTTTTTAATTAAAAAAGAGTTTTTGTTTTGAAATTATAATTGAGCTGTAATTATTTTTTTAACATTTGATAACATATTAATTTATGATAACACTTTCATGATTGCATTACAACACTTATTAAATATTAATTTATTGATTCTATATAATTAATTATATAGAGGTAATAGAATTTATGAAATATTCAAATAATTAATTACATATAAGTTTTGATATCCGTTTTTCAAGTTCCAAAATTATTATTAATGATCTATCATAAGAATAAAAATGTTGCCTGCTTTACTTTCCGTTAAAGAGAGTTTATTGACGCTCGTTGCATCATCATACTTAAAATTTTAGGCTCGAAATTTATTTTGCGGTACATGGCTTTTATAATAAGATTGATGTTTTAATCTTGCTTCCTTATACACAGTGTCGCTTTGAATTGTCACTCGATCGACACTTTGCAAGCAATTACTTGTTTGCCCATGTAGAAATAATTGATAAGCGCCACTGTGCAATTTACACCTCAACAGTAGCAATCGGCGGTACTATGACGTTATTGTTACCGGTATTTACACTTATATCAATACATGCTGTCTGCGACATAAGTGGACTATTTAAATGACAATGAAAAAGAGTATTGCTATGTCCCGTGTTGTGTCGTTGCAATAGTCGTCTATTATTATAGCAAATGTAGTCAATTAAACTTATGTCTGGCTGTTATTTGTTAACGCAAACAACGGCGACGACCGAATATAAGCATTGTCGACGTAAATTTAACGAAAATATTTTTATGTTGTTATACCGAAGTCATTTTTCTAAATTCAATTTTAATTTTTGAAAAAAGTGACAACTTTTAATATTTTCTAATAATTTTTTTATGCTAAGTGATGTTCTTGAATATAAGAATAATAAAATCTAGTTATTTTTTATCGTAATATCTTTATTTTTCTTTTAACATTTTATGCAATCTTAGTTTACTGATAATAAAAAAGCTAAATTAAAAGATTATTTAAGAAACGCAGATGCACACGTTTGAAATTTAATATTCTTGTTATTAAAAAAAAAAAAAAAAAAGATTTGGAACACATATGATAATATTTCATGCATATGCTTGTACAATATCTACAATAACATACTTTCAATTTAATGCATGTACAACTTAAATGTTTAAAAAATTTAGAAATATATTTATTAATAAATTTTGAAGATGCTTGTTATCATTAGTAATAGTAAATTGCTTGTCAATATTACTTATTAGAACTTCAATTTAGGATTGTGTTTCAAAATTGATAAATAATCAACACGCAGTTTGCTCAAACCAAAAATTACAAAATTCACGCAAAATATTATTAAATACCAAGCTTTGACTGGATATAGGTTTTTTCGCTTAGATGCATTGAAAAATTTAGATATACGATAGTTTTAAGATGTTGCACCCTGCAAAAACATTACATACGATCAATTCCATGAAAATCCATGAAAGTAGGATCACTGTTGAAACTCTCATTAAAGTGACGAAATGGATTATTCCCTACGCGGCGGATGTAAGAAGCGACTAAACAATTTTCGAGCGGCGATATTCGAACAGTACCGGGCTTTTACCGGGCGGCTGCGCTGTCGGCTACTGTTTTACGATGCGATACACGTTACGTGCCGAATCGCGCGATTGTGTTCGCGGCGATCCTGTAAATTTGACCGAGTAATCAATGGGCTTCAATTATCTCGCCTCGCTTTCCGGCGCGGTGCAATAAAAAACTTAGTTGCATGCGCGAATTTTTCGAGGCGAGTGTGAAAGTGCATACGTATTATAGATATATTTTACTACATCTAGATTTGTCCTTTTATGAGCAAACGGGTGTTGTTATCCTTTTCCCCATTTTGACAAGTTTTGAGTGGCAAATATAGGTCAAGATGAGAGATATTTAGATATGTACTTTACCATGAAAAAATTAATTTTTGCGTTTTAATTGCATAGTTGAAAAATTTGTGTTAAATTTAATATATTAATGTCCCAAATGGTCTACCTAATTTGTGATAATTTAATACAAGATAAATATGCTAGGGAGTAACACAAATATTACGTAAAAAATTCACACAAAAAATATAAAACTGACATAAATGGCAAGCAAATTGTGAAAGTACATTTCTTTGATAAAATTAATACATTTTTTTCATTTATCTAGGAACTTATGATTAAATATATATTATTTTTATGTTAATTGTTCACTTATTTATGAATTGTATTATTTTAACACTAAGAAATATTGAATATTAATTTCTAAATGTTCAAATAATACAAACATATTACGTTAAATTAACATTCGGAGATATGTTAAAAATTTAATACAAAAAATTTAATAATAACTAGTTTTAATACACATACAAAATATTTTTTACTATGTATATATCGTTAAAATAATAGATAGAGAAAACAAAAATTTAATTGATTTTTACCTTGGTGTAATTCTAGTTTTTGTTTGATTTATAATTGCGATTTCAAGAATAGGAGATTGTCAACTTAATACATAATTGTGCAAATTTTTGTTCAAAAATAAATTACTACGTATATATAAAAATAAAATAATAATTAACACAATTAAAGTTGATTTATTAAAACTGATTTCTTTAATGAACAATTCGAAAAATATTTTTAATGAAAAATATGCACATCATTATAGGTATTCTTTAATCTACTGTATGTAGTTTTTTCTAGATGTAATCTGCTGTTTTTCCAGTACTCTACCTCGTTGTTGTCTCTCGCGATTAAGGCGTCGCTAAAATTGCAAAAAATGGCACAGCGCTTGCAAACGAAACAAGCGGAAATCGTGGGCGGTACTGGGGGTCGTATCGGAAGAGACCAGAGCATCCAATTTTCCGAAAACAATCGAGGACGTAATGAAAGTCCAGTTGGCCGGGGCGGAACGGTGGAATCGGGATCGAATTTGTAAGAGAGAATGGAGAAATAACGACCGCAGAGCACACGCGAGGACATCGGAAATAAAATAGGAACTTTGTAAAAATAGTCGCGCCGTCGCGCCGCTAATTCGCCCCCTCTTTGTCTTCCACTTATCGACTACTATTGTGCATCCCCGCGAGGTGCATTGTCGATTGCATAGCATTCTACGTGCACTATACGCATAGAGAGACAAAAGAGGTGCTTATCGACGAGAGCCGTCTTTTTCTGCGCGATCGATGTGCGTGCAACACGAGTCGATTTACAAATATGTTTTCCTTTCTTTGTAGTAATTTGTTTAATCTTTCTCTTTTTCTCTATCATTAATTACTACTTTCTCAATCTGTTCCACTCAAGGAACGTGATCAAGCGATTTCATTACCGCTTCAGATTGCATACCTTATACGTTCAAAGGATTTGACACTTTAAATTTTTTTTGCGAATCGAATAAAAATGTCGAAATTTTTTCTAAGAAAAAATTGATCTTAAATCTAATAAATAACGTTAATATAAGAAATCTGGGATATTTTACTCAGAGAATAAACCATAGTAGTGACATATGTATAGATGATGCGTTTTATATGTAAAATTAAGAATGTACTTATTACACGTATTTTTAATAAAACGAAAAAATTATGAAAAATCATAAAATTTTTCTTAATATTGCATGAAAATTTTAGAGTTTGTGAGTTAAAATTTCTTTCAATAATTTCTTTTTCCTCTAAATGTATAAGTTCAACGTATTCGTTGAAGAAATCTGAGCTAAAATGCACATGAAGAAAATCCCGATTTTTATAATCGTAGAACAGAAAGCAAACGGCTACCGTTATTTATCCACTTGTAGCGTTCGTAATGTTCGCTGGGGAGGGCAAGTTTGCATTCTCTTTCGTAGGGAAACCTGGGCCAAAGCTGACGAGAGGCTTTTCTTTAATCTTTGCCCGTATCTCGCGGATAATTCCTTCCGGAAACCGGGGTTGGCTGATTGATGAGACTCGTCGTCGTCGATTAGGAAGGCGTGTCTCCTGATTCCGAGTGAAAAGCATAGGTTCGTGCATCTTCCCGACAGAATCGGGTAGGTTCGATCTTCATCGCCATCGTTTGTCCCGTCCCCATCCATATCGATTTTTCAGTCTGCCTCACGTTCCTCTGAATTAACTATCGTAATCTAATCAGCTGGATCAGAAGAAATTCCCTCCCGTCCCTCAATGATGCCTACTCTTCTCTCCGTCGTTCCTCCGCTTCTCGCTTTTGCTTCTTTTTCTCTTTCTCTTCCCCGAGGCGAATCGATTCGAGAAAGGAAGTTACAATTTCCTCAAAGTTTTCAAGGCTGCTCCTTGATCTCTTTGCGCGCGTGCGACGAATCTTCTCGATCTTGGTATCTCGTCCTTTATAGCCCTGTTCTATCGTGCTGTTTACAAATATTTGTCTCTGTATGAATCAGCAATTTGCAGAATTTAGTTTTTAGCATGACGTAGATCTGTGATGCACTTTGAAGTGCTTCAGAATTGGATGTAGATCTTATTTAGAATCGATTTTTCCTTAACTATATTTGACTTCCACAAAGTCAGAATATTTTCTTGTAGCTTAAAAATTTTATCTCGGAGAAGTCTTTTAATTCAATATTTTCTTTGTTTCTCAAAAATCAAAATTTAGAATTTAAAAATTGAAGTCCTAATTATAATCTATTAAATATAATAAATATAATTTTATATCTAAAAATTTATTTTCTTGATTTACTTGTATAACATTATTAACAAATCGAAAATTAGTTTATTATCTTGTTTTGTAATTTATTACTAAAGAGCGAAATATTTTGTTTTCTGTTAACTTTTGCTTCTGATTCTTGTCGCATCCGGAGTTGATTAATTCCAATGGAAATAGAATATATTTATTGACTTTTGATGAATAAAAAAGCGGAAGAAAATTAATGGACTGTTTCGTGTCTTTCATTCTTATCGATTAATTTCGACATAATGTCATTCATATCATTCATAGGTAGTGATGTCTCTGTCAATACGCACTTCGACAAATTTACTTTTCCGGTAGCTTATCCCCCTTACAATCACGATATCGGCACTGTTCACCGATAGCGAGCCAAGCGGCTTGACCTCTCGCACCTCCGTTCGAGAGATACCTGGCTGGAATAATCGATCGAGAACGGGGTCACGTGCCAGCGATAGGGCGATCCGGTTCGTAGTCTTTCCGCAGGGGAGATATGCTATATCCTCCGGAAAGCGCGATATGCTTTCCCGAATAACTTCGATACGAGACGACGATACCTCGGATGTATCGAGAGACGGGGCGATTTGACCCTCGACAATTCGCACGCGCGAGGACGACAACGATGTAATTTATTACGATCGAGCAATCGAAGGATACCGCGTTTGCTTCCAATTGTGTCAAGTGGTTGTAAATTCGAGGAGAATATTGTAATAGTCCGTAGGTATAGATCTATAGAACTTAGCGTCTAAGGGAATACAGGTAAAATCTATACCTTTGCCATCTTTTTTCTATCAGAATTATAACTAAAAAAGAAAGATCCTTTTTTAGTGGTTATTACGTAGTAAAAATCATTTTGTATTTATGTAAAATCGGTTTTTGTTAAAATTTTTATAGTAAATTTTTAATATATCGAAGTTAATTTAAAATAATGTGATTGTGTTATTTCAAAGTTTTGTGATAAATAGATATTTAATACTTATTAAAATAACAGAATTTATAAGCATGTGAACAATTAACCTAATGGATTCCTGTGAAATCTTGTAATTCTATGTTTTTTAGGTAACTGATTGCGAATCTGAAGTCATATTTAAAAAATTCGAAATCGTGGATCCAATATGGCTAACATATGGGAATAATTTAGTGCAAATCTGAATAAACGCAAATGACTTTCACGTTTTGCATTTCTAGTTTCTGACTTTTTTATAAAGATAAAAATCAAAACTTGAAGAGACCTTCCTAAAGTTGTTGGAATAGTGGAACATGTTGTTTATGCGTTATGAATTTATAAAAATGATAAAAAATACATTTTTGGGGGGTTTTAATGCCTTCTTTCTTCTAAGAAATCTTACACGAGAGACAATCTTTGAGGTCACATTCATATTCAGCGCATTTTATTTACTAAAGAACGATCTTTCATGATAAAAATGCAAAAAACTTTAATCTGCTACTTGGGATATTTTATTCATCACATTATAAGTTATATTACATGTGAAAATTAACTCATTTCGTAGGACTCAATTTTCTATATAATTAATAATGCGAGATTCTTTAGATGTACCACTTGGGAGACGTTAGCTATATTAAATTTAATACAATTTTTTTAACTTAATGTGACACAAAATTTTATTATTCCACAGACTTATCGAAAATGGTTACAGTATTATCATCATATAAATGTTTGATTTTCAACCTTGATAACTGCCGATTGTGGTGATTAGTGTTCTCCATCTAGATCTGATAAGATTTCTTGTCTAATACGTTAAATAACCAGACCAATTCTTTAATAAACACGAGGCGAATGCCTTCCAATCAAAAAAACTCGAATCATTCAGAACGAGTTCTGACCCCGTTCTCGCTGACCCCGGTCGCACCATTTAGCAGACGAATTAACAGACGATCTATCTATTTATCTATCTCATCTGTCGCGAACGAGCCATGATTGATGTGCACAATTTCCGTTTTCAGTTGAACGACGGCGGCGTTTCAACATCAACGACAGGATCAAGGAGCTCGGCACCCTCCTGCCCAAGACCAATGACCCGTGAGTACGAATCTCTTTTCTTTCACCGCTTTTCTCTCTCCTCTTTCTTCTTCGCTTCTTTCTCGTCCCACGTCACACGCTCGCTTTCTCCCTCGCTCCATCTCTTGGCCATCGCCACCCCGTTCTTCGTAGTCCTCTTATTCTTTGCCTTTGCCTTTTGCACATTCCCCACGGACCATTATTTCCTGTTCGTGACCCTTTACGACGAGTTAGTCCAGGTCAGGTGCTCGAGACGAGAGGCTTTCACCGGAAGTCCATTCTTCGCCCCTTCCACCCTTCTTTCCTTCGCTTTTCCTCCTCTCTCTCGTTGGCTCCTTACGGCTGCTCGTTCCTCCTTCCTTTACTTCAGCTTTGTTTCCCGTTCACCCTCTGCCGCGCAAAGCGCCACGCTTTCACGTTTTAGGATGTCCTTCAACTCGGTGAATGAACGCAAATGCGAGGGAAGAATGACGCCGCGAACCAGAAATACGAGGAGACGAGATTAAAAAACACCAAGTTTGTTGTTTATTCCTCATGTTACTGCGTGTTCCGACAATGCCGGACATACGCGTTCTGGTATCCTGCATAAAGTATATTACAAAAATTAATCTTTTATGGCACTTCACGCATTCTAACTCGAAACATTTTTCTTTGATATTTAAATTTAGGAAACACATTTTAGAAAATGATATATTTTCTTGAATATATTTTGTAAAAATAGAATTTAGTGTAATTTAATTGTTTCCGAGTGTTTTATTCGACGTTTTACTACGATTAATGTAAATATTTATTAATGTTAAAAGAAATAAATTATGATTTGTGCATAGTATTTTAATGTTTAATATATTTAACATCGTATAATCGTGGCATTTCAGTTCTTTTGCAATATTGGTTTCGTTACGATAGAAGATAATTTTATTTAAACGTACGTCTTATTCTATACGTTAATTATTCGCCATTCTATTGAGTTGTAGCCTCATAAAAAATCTTATCTATATCGTTCGACATTTATGTTTGAAGGGATTTATTTAGCTGTAAAATCTTAAGCTTGCTAAATCTAGTCAACATATATACTTTGCTCTTTCCAAACCGTAATACTAGTCGTAATGTGTAATTGATTGATGAAATTTATTTATACTATTCTATAAAATAAACTTGATTGATAATTTAGAGTTTAGAATTACAAAATTTTATTATTCTATTCTTTCTATAATATTTCTAATTATTTGCAAGTTTAAAATTACGAAAATCTTTTCTGATAACGAGTTAATAACTTTTAGGCAATAAACACATTGCGGTACAAATTATCTCAAATGAGTACTTTGAGCGAGAATGTTTCTTCTTAGCCATGTACTACATCCGTGATGGAAGAGACGTTTGTTTTCTTTGCCATTATTTTCCACGGGATTCTACGTCGACAATCAGTTCGTGTCTGACCTGTTTCAGACATGATCCCTGACACGAATCTTCTCGAGACTTCGACACACGATGGACGTATTAACGAGTGACCCTTTTGCATAGAATAGCCGAATGGGTCCGTCGTTCATTTATCAATCTGACGATCGATCCATTTGTCTACGTCAACATCCGACGAACTTAAAAACTCCTTCCTTCGGGTTCGGCATCCTCTTCTCTTGTGCTCCTCCTTTCTTTGAATATCGATATACCAAAAACTATGGAAAAATCCGAACAAACTGGTTCGTGGCTAATGTTAATTGCGTAATATTGAACTTTATTAACGATATGAAATCTTTATGCAATGTGATAAATATATTTACTTTGACAAATAAGATAAAAATGTATTTACTTTGATTTTGCAGACGATAATAAAAGAATTATATTTTTGAGTCATCACTATTAAATTTCTTAGAAAACGCAGAAACTTTTTTTTTAACTTGACAGAAAATTGACTAACAAAGTAATATCGGCCGAAATAATATATTTTTAACGTAATTAAATGTCATTTTTGTCATTTTAGTTTCACAGTATTTAAAAAAAAATCAGCCTTTTTAGTTTGTTGTGACGTGATTTTGACGATTTTTGAAAAAATTATTCTTTTTTACGATTTGTAAGATTTTTTTTATAAAAATTAAGTTAATTTACTTTTTATTTATTTTTATAAAATTAAGTTAATTCACTTTTGATGATTGATAGGTTAAAGTTTACCTAATTTATTCGTTATAACTCATTAGTATAATTTGAAAGTCACGTTTTTTTTGTGTCACTTTTGAAATAACGTATATGATTTTTTTTTAATTGTATCAACTTCCACTTTTCTTGAAGTTATCGTCTGCATTATTGTCTATAATTTTGATTAACTTTAGAAGGAAATAAGAATTCATGGAGACATTATAATCAACATTGAGGAAATTGACTAATTACTAAAAATCCTTTACTTAAAATATAATTCTTCATTTTCGTCACCAACTTTTGACGCGAACTTTTCGCGCGAGAGACGCAAAGTTCGTTGTTCGTAATTATTGATTTAATTTACGTTATTATCGTAATTTACGTTATCTACGTCCGATGAAGGAGAAGCGTGTAGGATGGCGTGCGTTCTTTATTTGCCGTCATATTCCCATCATATTTTTCGACACGTCACTGATAGATGCGATAACGCGAGCACGCTTTAGGATTAACGTGTTCCACGTCTCGAATTTCTCTCTCGATATTTCGGAGCTGACGAGATGAAACTGATGAAAGTTGAATTAATGCGGCTTTACCTCGATTGTGTTTGTCAGCGATAATTTATACTCCGTTTCAATGCCTCTCTGGAATTGCATTTAACGCGCATTTTAAATTTCCCGATTGACATTCCGGTCTCGCGCGCATATTCGAACCGCATTGTCCACGCATCTGTGCATCGCGTGCAATATTAGTACGCACATACGTCCTCGATTCACCAAGCGCCTTTTATCTAATGACGCTCATTACATCTATAAGACAATGGCGTGCAGTCGCTGCAAACGTGTGATAACGCTTCTGGGCCTATCGCGAGTGATAAAGATAAATTGTCAACCGTGTCAACCGTATCAAGTACATATTGCACAATTTTCTTCACGGATGCAAGTTTACTTGAAAAAAATTTGATATTAATCAAGCGGATATGAGACAAATATTTTTAATAAAGATAGAGATAATTCAATGAATTTATAATCTTTTTATTGTAAATAATATATATAAAACATGTTAGAAATCCAGCTCTTAATTACGAATTGTCAATTATTATTAATCTTCATTGTAATTCACAAAAAGATAACGCAGTTTTAAATTTAACATATTTCATGTGTTCTAAACAGTCGACACAAATTTTTGTGTTAATTTGTAACACAAGATGAGTATGTTACAAAGTAGCAGAAATGTTATGTAAAAAAAATTGAGGTTATTGATTCATATTTATATGGCCAAGGTTGTAATTCTTAAATATAAACTTTCATTCTTTAGACATATTTAACTATATATGCAATAAAAATAATTGTACAATTGTAAGAAAACTTAATTTTATTTTTCTCAAAGTCGCAGCTGCCAAAATTTGTTCGTGCTAATCGTATCCAACGAGGAAGGGAGAGTAAATGTCAGTAATAACGCGCGTTAGAACTTCTCGTGAGTGTCTAAGCGTCTTCTCTGTAACGTCTTTCTCCTGTAGGGTTTTAGTTTCGGCTTTGGCCGGGGACGATATCAAGCAGAACGCGGGTAAACTCGGCGCGATAGCGCGCCTGCGATAACGAAGTAGAGCCCTGGTTCTAAAGACACCGGCAAACACGGCACAGATTTCTCTTCGTCCCTTCCTCCGATGCTAGTGTCTCCGTTCATCGTGTTCAAGTTTCGGAATAGTCCTCGTTTCCTACGAAACGCCCCGATTCCTCGCTACCCTCACGCTCCTTACGTCGTTCCTCATTAAGGCGAGCGATGGAGGGAAACCCCGTCGATGCACTTGGCTGTTTATTGTTCACCGTGCAAACTCGTTTCCGACGCGCGTGCAAGTACGAAAACCACGCGCGACTCGTGAAGGAGGCCTGAACGCGCCGTCGATGTCACTCCGTCTCTGACGAAGCGCGGAATGTTTAACTATTCGGTCGCATGTTCCTGTTAACAATAATGAAACGGTAATTGAATCTGCGAACTTACACGACGCTGTGTTGAAACAGTTCTTTAGCTAACTAAATAGTAGCCCACATTTTTGCCGTATATTCGATGTTTATCCAGTATATGAAGGCTGTTTTCGATGTCAACACAAATACAAAAATGAAGATGAAATCGCTATATAATAGATACTATTTCTTACTTCAAAAATGATACACTTAAAAAATTTTATTTGAGAACTGTTATCATGAATAAGTTAAATAAATACTACGTATCAATCATTAAAAGTAAACTAGCTTAATTTTATTAAAAATAATTAAAACTGTTACAACTTAAAAAGGATAATTTATAAAAATATTGTCACTTCAAAGAGTAATTAAAAAAAAAGTTATTTTTAAAATCATTAAAACTCAAAAAGAGTGTTTTAAGGATTGTGAAACAAAAATGACAAAAATTATATTGGATCATGTTAAGAATATATTCTTTTTTGCTATATATATTACTTGATTATTTTATAACTTTTTGTCAAGTAAAAAGTAACTTTTCTTTCCTGGGAAACTTCATGTTTTGAGTTATGTCACTTTTGAAGCAAGGCGATATTGTATTGAGAATGCAGAGAAAGTACCTCGCATTAAAATTTATTGATTAAAAAGTTATCGTAGTTGTACGATGGATCCAATTATAAGTGTTCGGTAACAAAAGTTTGCAAAACCCGCATTGGTTTTGTTGAAACTACATGCAGGCTCGGAATGTTAACTCGCATTAACTTGAAACACGGTAACAGAATTCCCATTGAATCCCAGCAAATCCGTAAATCGTGAACAATTCAGCAAATTCACCGTTAAAAAATATAAGCGCGCTTCTCTCTTAGGTGAAATTAATAAAACATCGAATTTTTTTTCGATGTAGTAAGCGTGTTTACGGAGAAATGCAGTTCGCAAGCTCTCGGGTTAAAGTACGCGAATCCGCACGGCCGCAAATTCGCTCGTCGCGAAGTTGTATGGAGCATGACGACGCCTCACGTGGAAAAGTGATGCTTTATGCAATATACCGGCGGCTGTTTGGTTTCGGAGTTTGCTCGGCAGGCGCAAAATCTCGCGAGTCATGCAGCGACGCGCCCATTCGCGATCCGCGATCGCGCGTGAATTTAATTACAGTTTTGTCGAGGCAATGTAAATTATTAGCAACATCACGAGAGCATTCGCGCTGTTACAAGAAACATGAACCATTTTACCGTGAAGCACAAAACAGTTGATAATTATTAATTATTTGTAATTATGCTGCTTTGTGTGCAATTTACTATTTCATGTTCTGTAGTTTTATTTTAAATTGTTTTATGTGTGCTTTACGTAGTTGGAAAATTTGTGTTAAATTTAACACATTTCACCAAAATGGTTCATTCAAGTTTTTATGTTAATTTAACACAAATTAAATCTGTTAGAAATTAATACAAACTTTATGTAAAAATTAATATAAAATGTAATACTGATACAATTTGGAAATATTCTTTAGTAAAATTAATACTTATAATAAGTTAAATTAACGCTAGAATTTATGTTTTAAAACTGTATCGTTATTATGTTATTTGTTTATAAATTATATTATTTTAACCTTAAGAAATATTGAATATCAGTTTAATTAAATATTCAAATCACATTAATATTCAAATATATTAAAAATTTAACACAAAAGTTTAACAGAAACTTATTGTAACACAAATACAAATGTTTTTTACTGCGTACGAGTATAAATTTCGAGGCTAAATAATTTTCACATGTTAAAAAAATCTTTATTTAATATTTTCTTTTCTTTTCTTCTTTTTTTTATAAAAAATAGACTTACGAAAATACGCAGACTGTTGTCTTATTGTTAGTTTTTCTTCCACATCCTCTAGCACTTTTTGATTGCGTTTAAGAGTACAATACTCGCACCATGGTTCAATCCTCCCGGTTTTCTCGCAAGATAAAGCGGAGGATTATGGTTTCTCGAGGGAGCATTCACCGTGGAGTTCACGAAGGATGGATGTGTCGCCGAGACATGACGAATGCCACCTTATCATAGGCTTTCTATTCGGCGTCTCGCTTTCCCTTTTGCCAAGCAACTTACGATTTTTCGGGCGATAAATTGACGAAACGATTTCGCCGTAAATCAACGGCGCGGCGTGAAGGGAAAAAAGTGTGAATAACGACGAAAATCCGTAAGTGTTGTTTCCCGAGTTTTGCATGGAAATATTTAAATCACGACGGAGAACTCTCTCACGGTGAATTTCTGATGTCCGTCATGAGAAATTTCATATTGGTCTTGCGTCGCACCGCGTCAACAGTTTTCGTTAACCCTTCGAATATTTGCTACGGTGCGGTGTAAGATTGACAAAACAAATGAGCTATCGATATCAATGTCAAAAAAAGCGTGATTAATGATAATATCGGAATGGCATATCTGTGAAAGATAATCTAATTTTTAGATAATCTAATTTTTACCAGCTGTAGTTTAATTACAAATACTGATTTGTATTATCGCGAAAATTACATAGTTTACGGATAATATCTGTACCTTATCAGATATATCTTATCTCTTGTACATGTTATTGCTCATCTATGAACAATACTGTTTTGTTTTTGAGAAAAAAAATGCTACCTGCGACTGCGTTTATACGAATCTACAATTTCTTTTTCCAATCTCGACATTTTTGTAATACGACTCGCACTTACATATTCTGTAAATGTGGATACAGACTTGTTGCATATCTGTGTCATCGTTCCGTATCAAAATTGTGTTTTAGTAATGTCACAATAAAAATTATTTTGTACTTGTATTAAAACTGGTTCTTATTAAAATTTATTTCTAACATATTCGAGTGTTATTTTAATATAATATTTTATTTATTTTTATTATTATGTTATTTTGAGTATTTTGTATTAAATTGATATTTAACATTTCTTAGTGTAAAAATAACACAATTTACAAATAAATGAACAAAGAACAAAAATAATATAATTCCAAATCAAATTTTAAGATAAATAAATATGTGTTAATTTTACATATTATAAGTGTTAATTTTATTTAAAAAAAATGTGTTTCTACAATTTATATCTAAATTGTGTTAAAATATAACGTTTTATATGTTAATTTTTACATAATGTTTAAATTCTAAAATAAGTGAATAAAAGATTAGTGTTAATTTTATTTATTATATATTAATTTTCTTGAAGAAATATGCTTTCACAATTTATTTATAAATTATGTCAAGGTGTTACATTTTTTCTGTCAATTTTTACATGTATTAAATTAACACAAAAATTTGTGTAAACTGTTTAGAATATATAAAATGTATTGCATTTTACAGGAATTTTTCAACTGTGTGTGTAAAGGTACACACCGTGTTATATCATTGCATTGATACGCAACAAGTCTGTATCTACTTTAATATACATTCAATGTTCGAAATTTATGTGCAAAGTGAACGAGAACATGGTATGCTACATTTTTCAAGCCATTTCTGATGCCGTCCAATGTCAAACATTACCACGTGTTTCTAAAGAAATGCGCATTTTCTCTGGCAATTCTAAATTTTTCTTACTCTTATGTTTTTATTCGCGAGCCGTTCGTTGAACATTCCTCACACTGGCGTTGCGAGATTGTCCGCGCTGGATCATCGCGAATGTCTCTTGCGAGCAAAGAGACACCTCCGAGATGTTATCTTCTGCTTCTCGTTTCTGCATACGCAGAATGCTTCTCATGAATTTTTCGAGAGCGCCACTATAAGAAATTCTTCAGGTTAACGACAAATCGCCGTATCATGCGAAGGCGTGAGATACAAGGGGTGTGCCGGCAAAGAAAAAAGAAGAGAAAAAAAAGTGCGAAGAGTACAAGAACGCGGCCCATGTTATGGAGATTCTCCGGGACTTCGTTGCTTTCCTCGTCGAGATATCGGTCCCCGTCCGTCTGATATTCCGCGCGAACTCCCGCGCGGAATTCCATCTCGAAGGCGGCTCTCGAAATGTCGATGGGGTGATTCTCAGAGATGGTAATATCAGTCGTATTACGGTCGCTTGAGGAACTTTGAGAATCTCCTGACGAAACACCTTATCTCAAACATGGGTTCTGATGAAATAATAATCGCGACGTCTGGGGTTTCAAGTAGTGGTCCCTTTTTAGCACTCTCTCTTTTACTAGGGGCGTTATCATCACTCTTTTATGTTTCTCTGAGAGGAGTTGAGAAAAAATTGAAAACGTGAGCTCAACGCTCTCACTCTCTGAATCTCTCTTATCACTGTTTTTTATACAACCTATACCGAGGAATCACAAGCATATCAACTCTTTGATGCTACTGACGATAGATGTAAGGGAGATTGCAAGAATATTAAGAATACAAAATACATATCTTATTGATTGAAATATCTTGAGCAAAAATTATTCGTTTTTTATTAATAAATTATACAGTTTGACATTAATTAATCCTCCGGAGCTGACAACAAAATTTGTAAAACAGTTATTGAGTTACGCTGAGTCTAAGAAACCTACTTAATTTGTATTGATGTTCAATGTTTTTTTAATGTTAAAATAACATAATTCATGAACAAAAAACATAAAAATAATATAATCTCAAAACATAAATTTTAAGATAAAAGATGAATCAATTTTTTGCATATTATACATGTAAAATTATTGAAGAAATGTGCTGAAAGGCTAGCTAATTGAATTCAAAAAACAAAATGACATAACTCGTATAAAAATGAATGTGTGTGTACACTCTAAAAAATATCAGTATGAATTTAACACTACGCAGTATGTATATAATTCTCACTGTGTTCAGCATGATGTAGATTTAGCACCGTGCGTGGGGATTTAACACTATGGTTTCAAATCCATGATGTTAAATCTAATACCTTTATTTTTAGAGCGCATATATGGCGTTTGTAGTTTTTCCTTAAATTTACATGAATATTGCAACATGAAATGATGATGTCGTTCGGTTCTTTTTTTGCAGATATTATGAGATTGTTAGGGACGTTAGACCAAACAAGGGTACAATTCTCAAGTCGTCGGTGGAGTATATAAAACTGTTGAAAAACGAGCTCACAAGGATGAAGCAAAACGAGCTCAGGCATAAACAATTGGAGCATCAGAATCGCAGATTACTTCTACGCGTGCAGGAACTCGAGCTGCAAGCGAAAGCACACGGTCTTCCGGTTACTGACTTTAACTGGGCTTCTACTTCCGCCATGCTTAACACCTTTCCAAGGAGTAAACTCGAGCAACGAAAGGTAAGTATAAAATCCTTTCCCATCCGGTCCGCATCTCGTTATCCGCTGCTTCGAATATACATCATTGCATCATTCTATTCATCGTGCAAGTTTTATGTTTAATTTCCGTAATAATTTATTTGCATTTGCATCTGATTCGTTTTCTTCTATTCGCTATCCTTTAACAATAAATCATGTTCAGCACTTTAATACTTTGATTGCCAAGTCGATTTTGGCATTAAAGTTTATAAATATAGTGTTTCGTTTGATTTTACTGTTTTAATACTTTATTTGTTTTCTTAATATATTGGTATAAATTATATCGTTTTTAGGCTGAGTTGTTCCATCGATAAATTTCAACTCTCTTACCCTCTTAGAGTTGGTTGTTCCATCTTTGAATAAACTATGTGATAATTTATCTATTGGATAAACAAAAGAATATATAAAAGAGTAAGAGCGTAAGAGAGTAAGAGCGTATAGCCTGTTTTCACAGTGTGTGATTAATTAAATTGAACTTATTGAAGGTTACAAAGAGAATCATTAATGAAATTCATTTATGAATTTCTTGATAACCTTTCATCTTTAAGTAACCATAGATTGTGAAAATGAGGCTAAGATAGTGAGCTGAAGTTTATTGAAAGAACCCAGACTAACTCTTTTACTCTTTTGTTTATCTATTAGATAAATTATTAAGTTTATCAAAAGATGGAACAACCGACCTTTAATGTTTTAAATGCTTAGTAAAAAAATAATTTTTAGTAAATAAAACTGTCATCAACAAATGAATAACGAGACACTTACGAGACGCATCACTTATGTATGGATGACGTGGCAGTCAAAGTGTTAAATAAATTTTGTTAAAGTTTCGTGAGTATTATATTTTCTTTTATATATATTATAATTTATACACTTTTAAATATATTTTATATATTTTTATCACATTTTTTATTTCTTTACGAGCGTTAATATTTTCAATATTTTTGTATATTACATAACTTTAAGTAAGCAAATAACAAGCGAATTATTTTTCAAGTAAAGAGGAAATTTTTCCTCTTAACACGATTATATACGAATGTTATCGTTAATTTCAGTCAGTTTTATTAAGTATAGTTTCGTAACAGGGAGTCATTTAATCTTAATGCGACAGTCGCGTAATTGATTTTCGATGCTGTTGAAGCGACGGTATCAAATGTAACGATCGATACGATCCTTGATCTGAATAAACCTCTCGCTCGTTCGCCAGAGTAGTTTCATAATGCGTGCATCTGTTCTGAGAGAGAAAGAGAAAGAGAGACGAAGGCGAATAGCTGTTTGCTTGCTTCGCTCGCGATCTCTCTTTCTCGCACTCGTTTACCGATGCTCTCGTACACGAATGTGGTAGGCAATGCCGTCTTTTAACAGCAACGGTAACGATTTTATTACGTAACCGGAGATCGATTCGAAATCGTCCGTATGTTTGCATAATGAGAAATGTTTTCTCATTTACGTACAATTGACGTATCGTTCCGTGCCTCGAGCGACTTTCATTCAATGACGATCTCTCAAGCACCGTTCGATCTCTTGATGACGAAGCAATTGCAGGATACCATGAGTCTTGTAGACACCTTCCGAAATTTTTGTTTGCACTTGAACGTGACAATTTGTAGCATCTCACGCGAGCATTATACAAATTTTCAATTTTACACACACACACACACACACACACACACACACACACATAGTTTCACACTTTGAGTAAGATAATTGCAATAATTCCCACAAAAAGACGAACTTTTCTATCACAATTATATAATAAAAACTATTTTTATTATAATTGTAATAAAAATAAAAATAACTATTTTTATTATAATTATATTAATTTAATTTAATTATTTTATTGTAATTATTTCCGTTTAAAAGAGACTGATTATTTTTTTGCTTCGTTATTCATTAATATTATTCAAAGCGTTAATTTTTCGATATATACATAACAACTGACATCACATCTGGCAATTCTATATGTACCTATATTGGCAGTGGATTATTGTTCCGAATAATAAATTGCGGCTTATCGCAGTCTGATCGTATAAATCGCCCTCGTTTGTTTTGCTTGTCATTACGATGTCACTCCGAGCGAAGAAGGCGAATTTTTGGGAGGTAGCCATCGGCGTTAATCGTCATCACCGTCGCTCTTTAGGATGCCCGATGACGGAGATAACTTGTGAGATCAGTGCGGCAAAAGTTACCGCTGAATTAGTGGACCAGATAAAGTCGCGCGCGCACGTACGAGTACATACGAGGTTTGACATGCGCAGCTTCGTGATGCGATTAAGAACTTTTCAAGTTCCGACGCGCTTCGACGATAGATCTTTGACAGATTTGGGTCTCTTAAAGAGGCCATGTCGTCAAGGAAATATAGGACGGAGAGAAAGAGAAGTTATTAACATTTTTATTACATCCGTTACTGACAGCGGCGCAACTGACGTCCGCCCATATCCGCAAAACCTTTAATAATCTTTTTATTATTCCTCTCTGTGAGCTGGTGCACACGGTGTAATAAGTTGAAGTGAAGCAAACATATATTTATTTCACTTTAGCTTACTGTATCGTATGCACCAATTCTATTCATTTTATATGGGATGGCACGTAGAAAAGGATGATTGTATTGTATGTGCATTGACGTTATTATATAAATTACTTCCGCGCTCGTCGCACTTTTGGAAACATTCGGAGTCGCACGCTGCGACGCGCGAGATAACGAAGGAGACACGAGATGACGTACCGAGAGAAGGATGAGTTAAATTATTGTTCGAGATAAAGTTCCGTCGGGACGTAAGTAGTCTGACAAGCAGCTTCCTCGCGGTTAGAGAAATTTAAACATTGATAACGTCCCGCACCGCGATTCGCGCGACGAGTTCCGACTGAGGCGAGAGAAGTGTCTCGCGTATTGCACACAGGAATTTTACCACGACACTTAACCGTCGCACTGGTTTGCTTAACGTTAATTTTGTCCCTCGATTTATCTTACGTGAAATGTAAACGATGTCGTACAAATGTGCCTCAGATAACGATGAATTATTTTTAGAAAAAACGCAAAGATAGAATATGTACATTTTGAAATAATAATATACTCGTATGTATAAGACATAGTGGATTATCTCTAAACTGGCAACGATATCACTAATCCGTCGAGTAATGAACTTATTTGTGTGAATTATTTAAGTACTTGATTTATTAAGTCTGTTAGTCTGTTTATGACACTTCAAGCCGAAAGCTTCTTTTGCTTTTAAGTTATATAAAATAATAATTATTTAGATCCAGTAACTGCTACTGGATCTGAAAAATTATTATTAAAAAAACATATTGTTATGGATATTTACAACAATTAAAAAAATATCAATTTTTAAAAAGTGTTTCCAAACTTTTGATTTGAAGTGTAAGCAGAGATGTTATTATCAGACTCAATAAAGCATAGAGATAATTTACGAATGAAGAATTATTATTAAAAAACATTTCATTGTCCTGGATATTTAAGTATGTAGTTCTAAAAATATTAATTTTTAGAAGGTGTTTGCAAACTTTTAACCCGGAATGTATATTTCGACTTCTTACTCAATTCGTTATTTTATGTTGAAACAAAACGTTACAGTTTGCGAAAAGTGGTTCTTACTTCGGCAATGAATTATTTCTGTTAGGGAAGGCACAGTACGCGCAAAGGATTTATGCAATGCTTCGTTTCGAGATTGTATAATTGCAAACGTAATTGCAAACGTTAAATCCGCACGCGCCTGAATGTCGTGCAAAATATTTACTTTTACCACCGGCATCGTGCGTACGTCCGCGGGTGCGCGGAGTCCTTATCGTCCCGTCTGCCTTTTATCGTACGTGCTACCTCACGCGAGACTTATACCTTTTATCTCGCATCTCAGCGCGTATATTTTCGCGAGAAGAACACGCTGCGCGCCACTCCGATGTCGGGACAAAGGATAATCGCCGAATGAGCTGTAACGTCAGAAACTGTGTTGCGCAACAGCACGCTGCGGCATTTTTTCATGCAAATTTAACGCCCTCCGCGCCGTTCGAGTACACGGCGGTTATGTAAATAGGTGCTTGCGATCACTTCGCGGAATACCGCGTCAAATATGAAATCACACGAAACGTGATCGCCGAGCCAGAGATCTGTATTATTAAAACAGATAAAAAACACATTCTGCGGCTTTCTCTTTCTTCAAAATTGTGTGCCATTTTATATATTTATAATCTCCAAATTTATAGAAATTAACAAAATATTAATAGGACGTCAAATTAAAAAAGAAGCAATAATTTGATTAAAGGCCGATAAGAATCAAACATGTCTTGGCGAGTAAAATAAATAATAATTAATTAAATTTACCTTTAGTTAATTATTGAATCGTCATCACACGATTGGGTCATCCGTTGTCCCACACAATTTCTTTTTTTTTAATACTAGTAACACTTAAATAATAATCTTTATCCTTTTCTTTTTATTAATACACAACTAATACACATACTTTTAAAAAATGTTAAAGTATATATGTAAGAATTACTTAATAATTTTTGTATATTTTTGTAGAACTACTTACTTGTAGAAGTGTTGGAAATTAACCTATGACACGAATGGCTTATTGTATATAATAAAAAATCGGAAAATTATCCTATGTATATTAAGGGATAAAGATATACGAATTTGGTATTTTGGCTCAATTTCGAAGCATCTAAAGTAATTATATAGGGTGAAGCTGTTCATGTAAAAGTCGAAATGTAGAATAAATTTTTTTGTACATTTACAATAATTTTTTAATTAGTAAAATTAATGTATTATTTGAACTTATTATTTTGAAATATACCAAATCCAGACTGATATAGAAATAGCGGTGAATAGTCAGATTGGACAAATAAAGTAGATTGTAGTAAAGAATGTGCATATTTAACGTATATTCAAATAACTTGATTTCTTCAAAAATAAACTCTATAACAAAAAATTTTATTCTATATTGTCGACTTACATACTTTTAGAGAAGAAGTTATCCCCAATTATATCATCTT